TTACTGGAACCCGTTACTTAAATACTTAGAAAAGTTACCAGCATGAGAAATCTCTTTGTAGTCCACCATATGACCGTGCACAAATTCTCCTGCTGATTCATGCCATCTATGTTATTTATGTTTATTGAATGTTGTAAAAACGAAAAAAAGGAGACTATCATTTCTATCTGTACCTATGTGCTTTATGACTGTCTGGCATTTGATAAATTAAAAAAAAAGAAATTCTAAAGCGATAAAAGAGTAGAATAGAATAGAATAGAATAGTTTATTATTATCCATACAGCAAAATTGGAGGTGCTCCTCACTGTGTGTGTTTCCTACGGCTGCAACTATCGATACATTTAGTAAGTATTGAGAGTTCTATTCATTTTTCGATTGAGAAATCAGATGAGAAATTATTATTAATGAGAATAATAAATATTCAAAACAGGAAAAAAACGCAGGTCTTTACAGTAGATCACAGCAGATGGCTCCGCCCCTCCCTGAGCCTGGTTCTGCCGGAGGTTTCTTCCTGTTAAAAGGGAGTTTTTCCTTCCCAAAGTCGCCAAAGTGCTGCTCATAGGGGGTCATATGATTGTTGGGTTTTTTCTGTATTATTGTAGGCTCTACCTTACAATATAAAGCGCCTTGAGGCGACTGTTGTTGTGATTTGGTGCTGCATAAATAAAAATTGAATAGAAATACATTTTCTTTCACTTTACATGATGTGACCATCGCGGTAACATTGCAAATGTGAGAGAAATTCTCGAATTTACGTGGTGAACACTCGGCACTACAGAGCCGTGTGTAAAAAGCATCACAGCAAAAAAATGTGGGATTTTTAATAATTGAGTTACTCAGGATACATGATGAATCGTTGCAGCTCTAGTGTTTGTGCAGAGATTGCTCTGCAGATCTGCAACGTTTTTTAAGGCTAAATTGATCTTTGTGTAAAATGCATTCATCAACAGAACACATTTGCATTTTGTTTTGCTAAATAAATTTAGAGAAAGACCACCTCCCATCTCTGTCTGTTCAGAGGCAATGGGACAACGATGGGCAGGAGTGGGGAGTTTAAATGCTGCTGGTCAGGAAGCAAAGAGGATGGTCACTGAAAAGGTTCATGGATGTAGTGAAGGAGGGCATGCATGCTTGGACTAGAGTGAGGTGGAGATGAAGGCAGATGATGCTGCCACAGCCCCTAGTTGAAGCAGCTATAAGCAGAAGAAGGACAAAAAGATCAGATCTCCTCTAACAACAATTACAGGATATTTTTTATTTTTTATTTTTTTCAGTGAGAATTTCCAGGACTGAAAAAGTGAAAACATCAAGGAAATGTCCAAATTTGCAGTTCATCTACCTGGTAAAGAGCTATAGACTAAATGCACAAGTGATAAAAATAACAACCTGGTAAAACAACAACAATAATAATAAAAATAATAAACATTTTGAGTTAACGGCTGTCTAACAGGTATGTTAGGTAGGTTTTAGTTCTGAAGTGGATCCAGACTGAATTCAGGGAGAACGCAGCACATGTGTAGAGAATCGAAACTATCACTGGGGGAAGCAAAATTCAAAGCAAGACACAAGAGACGACTAACTGTCAAAGTAAAACAGGAAATGACCCAGAAGATACCTACGAACTGCAGAGACCACAAAGTCACAAAAATGACAAAAAGGGAACTCTGGGAAAAGAAAGAATAACCTCAAGAGAAAAAACAAAAACACTGGAAATACAAAACTAGCAGTCTGTGCTCGAATAATCGTGACCTTTAGAGGAGCCCAAAACTCAACGAAACCAGAGTGAAGCTTAATTCTATTCCACTGCAAACATGCACACAGATCCAACACCTTCTTAAACTTCTTTGAAGTCTCCCTCCTGGGTGCTTAGTTGGTGAAGTGAAATTTAAATCTTCTGTTGACAAATCTACAAATCTAATAACACACACACAGACAGGCACTCAAACATCCATCTGGAACCAAACATTCAACTCAGGTCAATTTTATTTATATGAAACTGATTTGAATCAAATGACAACAACAGTCACCTCGAGGTGCTTTACATCATAAGATAAAGAAACTACAACAACAGAGAGAAAACCCCAACAATCGAACGACCTCCTGTGAGCAAGCATGGGAAGAACCTCCAGCAGAACCAGGAGGTGCAGCCATCTGCTGTGATAGTTGGGGAGATGGAAATTCAAACTAGTAATAATTATAAAGCTTAAGGGCAACATCGAAGCTAAACAGAAAGCATTTAATAATAAACATGGACCAACATTATGAAGCAACGCCTGAGACCAGGAGGATGCTTTTACAACTCATACATTTATTTACTACTAAAATAAAGGCAGGGCTGCTGTTGATAAAGACCTCCACCATTGCATGTATTACATATCACATCATTAAATAAAAACTAAACAACAGCAATGGTCAAACATAGTGTAAAAATGGAAACATTCCTATCTGCCACAGAAGTTTTTTACAGTTATAGGGGGGAAGGACTTTTAATAGGGAGTGAACTACCAGAACGTTTTCTGTAATTCTATATTTATTTATTTGTGTTGACAGATTTCCTGCATTTACTACAGCAGCATATTTTCCTTAAACTGAATTAAATCTTTACACTAAAGTGGGCTGTGTGTGGCCCACAATGTAAATGACTTTGACATCACTGCTCTATAATACTTTGGCATACAGACGAGCAGAGAGGAGCATGTGTACCAGTCGTGTTTGTATACCCTGTGTATGTTAGTAAGTCAAGATAATTCACAGCCAACAGTCGTTTTGAATCTGCATATAATCTGCATATTACACCACCCTTTTCTCTATAAGGAAACGTGTTTTCCTCCTGTTATGTACAGTAAATTACCAGATTACTTTGAGAAAAGTTTATGGCTCTCCATATAAATTCAGTTTAGAGAGAAACTCTAAGTACTCTTGTCTCAGCCGTGAATTGTTCCACCTTTGGCCCAAAAGGTTAGAAAAGACTCTCCAACTTTATTTATTTATGCTTATTTCAGTTATATCATGGACTAGCACTGTATGAAGGGTTGTCGCAGCCATAAATGTGTGTTTGCACTGACATCTTGTGGTCTCACAGATAAATGATGGAATAAGCTGAAGAAGGGCCTGTGTGTGCTGGACTACACACACTGCTTCTTTTATTAATTTTAATAACATTTATCCCACATGTCCAATCCTTTACCTTTTTCAAAAACAATCACTTTGTGCTTTAGTTGATGGATTCTGCAGATGTTCTTGTAATACATTAAAAATAAAACTAAAGGCAAAAGGGGAACTAATATTAAAGGGAAAGTGGCTTACAGAATCGTCACTTCCTCGGCCCTTTCCCTTTCCTAACACATATTTTAGCACTTTTTAAAAGAGAATCCCCAAAACAGACATCCTCTCAATCTTGAACTCCTTCACATTTGTAATCTAAGGAGCTTAGAAAGAAAAGCATCAGGAGAGTCTTCTCCAAGCACAACATCCCATTGCACTTCAGACCTAGCTACACCCTGGGATAAAAAGACAAAACTCTCAAACACAAACTTAGCAACAAAGTGCACGTGGTGCAGTGCACTGACGAGTGCTTCGACCTCCACATTAGAGAAACCAAACAGCCACTCAGTAAACGCATGGCACAACATAGAAGAGCCACCTCAAAAGGACAAGACTCGGCTGTACATCTGCATCTAAAGGTGGTTTGAAAATGGAGTGAAAGAAGCATCTATATCCACTGTGAACGACCATCTTTGAACTGAGGCGGGGCTTACGACATCACATATCTACCTCCTAAAATGCAGTTTTTAAAAGCCCTTCAACCTCCACTCACATCTGCATCATCTGCTG